AATTAAGCTAATGTGGTGGATCATGTATAAATAAGTTTATTCAAAATTAGGTAAATTTGGTTTAATTTCCACTTCTTATAAGAAATTCAATACATTTTGTTATACACTTATACATTCAATAACACATTTAAAATGTGATATACTCTGTATATAAGTTTAGGTCTAATGTTATTATATGAAGAAATAATGATTTACTATTAGCCGGTTTAGTAAAATTGAAATTGGTTGTATGGACGGAAAGTGTTTGAATTTATTGAATATGATAAAATAGTCACTTTTTGTATTTTTGGTTTTATCGATTCGATTTTGATCGGTTTTTGTTTCATTCGGTTCGATTTTGATCTGGATAGTTTTTTGGGGTTTGTCAACGAGCTTTCGTTTTTCAACTCTTTGTTTACCCCTTAATTATTGTACAAATCCTGCATTTGTCCACTTTTGTTTTACCTGCTTTTGGTATATACTCCTTCCGTCCCGCTAAAATTGTCTCATTTTACCCTTTTTAGAAGTCCCACTAAGATTGTCTCATACCAAATTTGGTAAAGATTGTGTGACTCTAAACCATTCTTACTTTATTTTTACTTTATCAATTTAATATCAACTGTACAAACCCATTTTTCTTAATAATCGTGTCACCTTCTCTCGTCCCAATCTTAGTGGGACGGAGGTAGTAATAACTAGTTACATAATTTTTTTGCCCACTTATGATGTTTTTACTTGGACTGTTTTCAATCCCAGATCAGATCCAACCAGATTTAAACAGACCTGATCAGAGTAGACTTAAACAGATCAGACCAAACTTAAACAGACTAGACCACACCAGACTTGACTTCCGTTATAAAATACACAGAGATCAGACGTTCATCAGACCAGACCAGTTCAAACCAGATCAGATCAAACCAGATTTAAATAGACCATACTTAAACAGACCTGGCCGGCAAATTACAATCCAAGTAAAAACATCTTTAGTCTGGCCTGGTCTGTTAATGTCTGGTCTCTTTGTATTTTATAACTACACAAGTCTTATATGTTTTGGTTTGTTTAAGTCTGGGCTAGTCTGGTACGGTCTGTTTAAGTCTATCCTGAAATTGAAAACAATCCAAGTAAAAGCATCCTATAACTCCTAACTTCTATATTTCTATGCGTAAAATCGTATGATCCACAAAGAATAATAATGATGTACTCCATATTAGAAGTGGACAAAGTAGGAAGATACCCCCTCCTTAATACTCATATCTTCTCACTTTCCTTTTTTAGCTGTAACATTCATATCTTCCCATTTCTAAATCTTCCTATCATACCCTCAATAATTTTAAAAATAATACACTATTACAACATTTTTTGTATTTATCCTTCATTCCATCACACTATTTCATTATCTTCTCATCATATCCTCAATAATTTATCTCCTTTCATTATTCTTAATCTCACATACTTTTCAAATGGGAAGATATATATGTTACGGATGTAGTTGATGGATAGTGTACCCGGGGTAGCTTATCCGAGGGGTTATTCCGGAGAATAATTTAGAGAGAAGTCAGAGCAATAAGTAAGAGAGAGAGTGTGTGTATTCGAATAGGAAAGTTGTGTCGATTACAATGGAAAGTGGCTGCTACTTACATTAGTCATAAATGCTAGGCAGGGACACGTGTCAAGCATCTGACGGCCGAGGGTCTCCTCAATCAGGATGACACCGGCACTCGCATGGACACCGCATTAAATGCGATGGTTGGATGTGACGTTGTACTTGCCGCGGTGATTCAGCGCATGTGGTAGAGCAGATCTTGTCGAGAAGAGCGCCTTCGGCTATATGTGCCGAAGGCTCCACATATCGGGGGCATTATGTGCTGAAGGCTTGGTTTTCAAGCCTTGTTCTCCTGTGATGTTTATTGACTTGGTTTCATAAATGCAAAGCCTTCGGGCATGGGGCCGAAGGCACACCTTGTGTATTATGAGCTGCCTTGAGTCCTGTTCGTTGGGCTTGGCCCATTTGGACTCGTTGGGCCTAATCGTAGTAGTGGAAGTACGTGGGTCAGGGATTCCTGGATCATATATACTCCATCATAGTATAACACTCGTAAATTTATGTGTGTGCACGCTTATAAAATTGCACTTTTTATCCACCTGTAAAATCAAATTAACAAAATAAAAGCCACTCATACTTCTATTTCCATCAAAACCCCTCAAACGTCAACTAAAAAAGAGATTAAAAACACTAATTTGGGTCTAATGGCCTCTTTTCCCGTTGTTCTAAAGAGAACATTTGTCGTTTTCACAGTGTATTATCTTGTAAATTTATCATCATACACAAGAAATGGAATGGAGAATTAGGAGTGTACATATTTCTTTTTCACACTGGAAATTCCAAAACACAGTATATATATATCATCATACTTGTAAAGCTGCAGTAGTCTATGCAATGCCGGTCAATCGACACTAGAAAGACTACATTTCCCGTAGTCCATACGCAGTACATTTTTTTTTTCCTACAACTCTACAAGTTTCTCTATCCACTTTAGTTTTTATTCATTTTTACTCACTTTTGGGTACTTTAATTTTTGAATCCTGAATGCACCTTTTCATTATAATAAAAATTGAAGAAATGACACTTTCGGGCTACAAAATAGTGCACACATTGAAATGACACTCTACAATTGTCCGAAATAATGTAAATGTAGTCACTCGATCATATTTTAATGTTATCCCTAAAGAGACCACATTTACTACAATTATAATAATTAAAGGGTATCATTTGTAAACTGAAGGGCGACATCCCTTAGAATGTTAGCTAAATCATTCTCACCTTTTTCATTTTTAATTTGTATATTTATTTCTTCGTCGCTCTTCTGTACCACTTGGGATATACCTAAAATAATTCGCCTATGATGATCTAAGGGAAGATATTAGTATACGATGATGATTGTAACTAATTGTCTAATTCCCCAAATAGTAATTAGACGGGAAATTAAAAGATATAACTTAATTGGACAATGCACACTAAATTAAATTGAAGAAGTTTTGTTCGATCTAGTCGATTACTTGAAGCGAATGGACGCCAATTCTGCACTACATAAATTGTATAAACAAACAAACTCCAAAATAATCCAAAGAATCCCAAACCCAAAATTCAGTAATGATAATAATAATTATGACATATTGTTTTCTTATGGACTACTAATTCCTATGATGGAGACACGCAGTTGTCGAGTAGCAACTTTGATTTAGGAAGTGTGTATAAAAATAGTCCGGCCCGTCTGGCCTGCCCTTATAAACGGGCGGACATGGATATATACGTAGTATATATTTTCCCATTGGACCGGACCTGTTAACAATATGAACGGGCTTAGAATATAGTGTAGGCCACTTGGGTTAAAAAGTCTGACCCCGAACATTATGTTCGTCATATTGAATTTTCTCGGTCAATGATGTCAAACTTTAGACAGTGGGGGTATTTGGTTAGGAGCTTATCAGCCAAATTTTGACTGATTTGACCAATGTTGACATTTTGACCAGATCAATGAGCTAATAAAAGTGTTTGGTTAAATGGTTTTTTCATTTGACTTTTTATCTCAAACAGCCAAAATAGAAAATGCTATAAAATGTAGAGCCTGTTTGGTAACACTAAAATTGGCTGAATTGACTGATTCTGCTGAAATTAATGAAATTCTAGTTGAAGTGGCTGTATTGGCTGATTCTGCTGATTCATTAAAAAATTATATTTAAAATATTTGTTATTAATAAATTAAATAAAAAATAATATGAAAAAAAGCTAAGATGGATCGTCTACAGTAACTTCAGACAAAACAACCAGAAAAGTAACTTCAACCTTACCTTTTATACTTATTACAATCTTTAGCGAGTAAAATCAAAAATTGCGTGTTTAGTGAAAAAAAGTTGTCTGATAAGCCTGATAAGCCTGATAAGCTGAGAAAAGGAGTCACCAAACGGGCTCGTAGCGTTTAGCAACGGATTTTCCTTATTTTTCCTTGATTACCCACGCAGCCCATGCCCCTTTGCGCATCTGCCTCCTCCCGACCTTCCACTCGCCGAAGAGAAAAACAACAATGCAAGAAGCAAGCATATTATGCAGGAAGCAAGCATGCATTTAATAAAATATTCTATTCTATCTTTTTTTAGTTATATGAAGAAGGTTCAAGTTTCGTGCATTTATTAAAATATACTATGTACTTTTTTTTATGTCAAAACAATAATAATAATAATTATTATTATTATTATTAATATTATAATTGAGCTAAAAAATAATTGATGTCCTTAATAGTGATTTAACAAGTTATCAGCTGACTGTAAATGGTCATTTAACCAAACATTATTTTACGAACTGCTAATATTATCAGCTAATCAAAACATCCAATAGAATCCGTTGTTATGAATCAGGCAACACAATCCGCCAACAGCTAAAAACCAACAACCATTTGTCAAACACCCCCAATGATTTTTAATTAATACGAAGTATATTTGTATATAATTTATAAATTTTATACTTTTATGATATGAAAATATTTTGAATAAGGAACATTTAGATATAATTTTCATATTAAAATTAATTTTGTATTGAAAAATATCATTGATCAAATACAAAGTATTAAGAGAGAGGGGGGGGGGGGGGGGGTTCAAATACAAAGTACCCCTTAATCTCCTTATATGAAAATTAGAAATAATCTTAGCCATTAAAATGAGAAAATAATTGGAGTAGATCAATTTTAAGTGCAAAATGTGATGACACGTGTAAATATTAGGAACTTTTTGGAAAAATAAAATGATAAATATGCATCGCTATGGTAAAAAATGCATTTGAATAACACAAAAATGACATTACTTGTCGAAAAAAATAACAATCAAGTAACATATTAAAAATTCATGACCTTCGATCATGGATTTTGACAATTTAGTAGCTTAGGATATATATATATATATATATATATATATATATATATATATATATATATATATATATATATATATATATATATATATATATATATAAAGTTGGTGATTACCAACTTACCATGATTGAATAACAAGTGATTACAAAGTCCATATATATAACTAAACTACTTAACCCTAGCTTTCTAGCTAGAGTGCTAGTTTCACAATCAACAAGTTTAAAATTAAACGAACATGAATATTTTGAGCAATTATTGATGACCTTAGTTGTTCTCACACCAATTTTTTATTGCTCTTTGAAGTGCTTCTATCACCACTTCTGTATTCATCCCACCATCTTCATTGTCTTCTTTTTTCTGAAATGTATATGTGCATGTTAAGAAGTACTAGAATATGTTATTCAGTTTATTTTATTCTAAGTAATTAATAAGCTAAGAAAGTAATTTAATTTGAAGTTATATTGCTTAAATAGAAATGTAAGGAAAACAACTATAACAAACACTTATTAGTCATATTCATGTATTAGGTTTTAGAATGTCAATAATGAAAAAAGTGACTAATTTATGGTGTCAGTTTTATAAAAAGTGTATGTCTTGTACAACTAATTAAGAAATAAGTATAATTTGAACATAAAAGTGCATATGAAGAACCATTTTTGTAACCATATATTCTTTGTACACACGCAGACACATTCATAAAGCTGGGAATTCGAACATTTTAGGAAGATAATTAAAATTATCTGTTAAACATTTCATCCATTAAACCATCATCACATGCATATAGGCACATTATGCACAGGAATGCATGTATAAGATAGATTTACCCGTCTAAGAATGCTAATATGTGTGCACAATGCATAATACAAGCATTAGTTAATCTTTTTAACAATATGTAGTATAACTTTATTAGCGATTCAAATTATCTATAATATGAAAAACATTAATTATATCAATTCATTAAGATTAAGGGAATGAATCATCTCAGGTTCCTCCAAAATGTTAAAATATATCGCTCATAGTTCACCAGTCAATGTGAGTTACAATTATTTTGTGACTTCAATAAATCATACTTCTCTCAATGATCTTAAGTATTTTCTTTGGATTTATACTTTCGTACACTTGTACTTGGGGATAAATTAAGTGTTGGGGGAAAGGGAATGTCCTACTTTTAATTTTAAAAAATATTAGACACAATCATTAATGTTACTTTATATATTGTTTTCCTAGATATGCTAATGTTCACGCCCTCAATTATTAGTTTTCAAATTCATTTTAAATCTATAAATAAGACTCAATGTTAGTTGTAAAATGTTAAAAGAAAACAAACCAAAATAGAATGAAGTATATTTTATTTATAATCATAAAGTTACTGATTTGTTGACTTATATAAAAATAATAATATATAGAAAACTCATTGATATTTTGAATCTATGATTGTGGAATTAGTAGATTGCTATGTTTGTAAATTTATCTTATAAGATAAAAAAGTTGCATGAACTTATGAGATGCCAATCACCATTTTAAAATTTCACAGAAATCAAGTAAGCATTTATTTCTCCGATAAATTTCAAATATATAGACTCATATCTAATGCATATGTGATATTTAAAACAAAGGCATAGTAAATTTTGTAATGACATAAAGATCGATGATTTCATGCACCCTGTGTTTAAGCTTCTCGATTGAGTTTACAATGATTGACTGACAACAAAGTTAACAATCGCTTCATGAAATATGTATATCAGTACTAATAATTGAAATCTACATATTTAGGAATTTCTATAGAAGTTTGGTTAGATCATAATAGTTGAATTCGAATATGATAAAAATAAAATGTACTCCGTATAAAACTAAAGCAAATACTAAAAGAGGGTTAATTAAGTTTAATTTGTGTGTAATGTATGAGAAACCTTAATTGGAACTGAAAAATGACTACTAAAGTTTAAAACACTCTTGCATTTCACAATAAGATATACACATATGATATTAGTTAACATTATTTCTATAAATATAATATAAATTCGAAATCAACAACTTCATGCTTACTATTGTAAAATTAAATCACATTTGTTGGACCACAAGAAGCATACATGCTATACATAAAAATGTAACTTAGGTATTTGATTTTTCATGCTTACGACACTTATTTAGTCAGGTGATGCAAAAATGGTTTAAAAATAATACTCGTAGCAGATATGGATATCCACCGTACCATTTAAACATATTTATAGTCAAAATGATTTAATAGTCTTTCACTCACATTTTCTGTAATTAACATATACATAGTATAATGTTTATATGAACGAAACAAAAAAACATATATAATGTTTACTTTGATTTTGTATCATATAGTTGTTTGATATACTAATATCGACTTTGAGTACTCTTTTATTATAAAAATTAACTTACTATATTTGTCATTTTGTAATGTCAACTAGCTCTACTTTTAGATATCGTATTGTATGCTATTACATATATTTTTTGGTTTATCATTTTTTAAATAAACTGATGTGCATAGAGCATGTAATACCGTAATGAAGGAAAAAGTTCGCCATTTGAACTAAAGTTCTGAATATGTCCACACTTATGCTCAAAATGTACTATTTTATATAATTATTGTGGAAATTGTGTTTGTATACATATGTTTTACTATGCCATAAATGTGTTTAGTGGGGGTGTGTAAGTGGAGATATGCTATTACCTCCGTCCCGCTACCATTAAGAAAAATGAAATTGTGTGATTCGTAAAAATGAATTATTTTGTAGTCATCTAAAAGTGAATTGTATTAAATTGATAAAGTGAATAAAGTAAGAATGAATGATAGCAATTCAAATTTTACCAAATATGGTATGTGACAAAATTAATTAGACGAACGCAAAAAGTAAAATGAGACAAAAATATGGGGACGAGGTAGTAATATATATGTGTACCTCTCCACCAATTGCTTGTAGGTGAAAGTTGTCCGTAGAAGAAACTCTAGCTTCTAGAATATTAAGACTCAACTCCTCAAAAGCTTCAAGTAAAGCAACAAGAAGACCAGGACAACTTGTTTCTGAGTATACCTTCACAAAGAAACCTTTTTCTAGGTATTCTACGGAAAATTTCTGCACACACAACAAGAAAATTTCTGAGTATACTTTACAAAGGAAAACTTCTGCCAATTCATTTAAAATCTTCTTTTTGTAAAGTCAGATGGTTCTTGTTTGAGCTTTATTACATTAGATATTATATTAACAAATAAAGATATATATCTTAAATGGTTAATTCGTACAAGGAATATCCCAAACATACTAATACATAAATTTGCATAGATACATTTTAGTTAAAGGAAAACTAAAAGTGGTAGACCACATCATACAAAGAGAATTGAAGAGTTTTTCATTTCAAGCTTCCGGGAAAAAAGTTCCGAACTTGTTAAGATTAATCTAGTCTTAGCTTTCTGGGATCCCTCAAATATGTTGAAGCAAATTTTAGATTTATCTTTAACCTTATCAAAGTGGTAACCTGTACCTAGTTAGTTATTCTAATCTAATGGGTTCCAACATCATATCAATTCCACATGCTACTCCAAATTTTGGCATGTGTGTTAGTGATTTTCATTTTGGCTGTAAATTCCCAAGTTTTACCAATACAAGTTAACTAGTTACTTGTGTTACCTTAAGAATTTATTGGGAAATCGTTGAACGATACTGGGTTTAAAGATTTTAGGAGAAAAACATGACACCTTGAGTTTTACCGGAATCAAGAGTTAAGAAAACTCTTGTATTATATAATTGAAATTAACAAAAGAGTGTACAAATGAACAAGTATCTCACTTCACACTTTCTAGTTGGGAATACTTCACTCTTCCTCACTTATGTGAAGCCTTTCTTTCATACCACAAATGAAAGGCTACAACATCTTTTTATACTACTCACAAGGGGTAGGGATTTCCTTTCTCTAGAATCTTACACCTACCTCTCTACATTCTAGATTCTTTCAAGAAGCCTCCAATCCATCCACAAGCTTCCATTATCTTCTTGAAGAATCTAGATGACTCCACACTTATTTAGAACACTCTAGACTACTCTATGACCTTCTACATATTTCTAGAGAATTCTACATTTCTCTAGACATAACCCCAAATATAAAAGCTTTATTTTTATACCCTTAATTTCATTTTAAATCTTAATAGTCAATCGTAAACAACTAAATTACCAAATACGAATTACCCTTACTTCAATTCATTAATGATAATGGCTGCTAACTCATATGAATTGAACATTAATAGTTTAGTAATGTTTGAATATGTTACCAAACGTCTTAATGTTTGAACATTAATTTTTTTGAGAAAATTAATTAGGCAAAATGAACTACTAGTATAGCAGAGAAAACTATTACAAATAGCATTATAGCAATAAATCAAGAAAACTTTGTCCGTTAAAAAGAACTAATAAACTATGTCCCATCAATAAAGAGAACTAATAAACTATTCTCTTTGTCCCTTAAAACTTTGTCATTTGTGAATTTTTTAGTTAATCATGTTTAACTTTGATTGGTTATATATTTTTTCAGTTTTGCTACTTGTACCCACTTCATTATACCCACCAATGTGAGAAGGCTATTTTTTTTATTTCACATACAAAAACAAACATGTTTTTGTCTATGAACATGTCCACTGACAAAAACATGTCTGTTTTGTTTGTGAAGGAGATTTATAGAAAAAAATTCTCACAGGGGTGGGTAAAGGTGGGTATAAGGAAGTGTGTAATAACAGTTATATATATATATATATATATATATATATATATATATATATATATATATATATATATATGTGTGTGTGTGTGTGTGTGTGTGTGTGTGTGTGTGTGAAGTTATTTATAATATAAAAATGATATGGAGATGTTCCCTGTTAATAGCAATGTTCTAAAAGGCGCAAGGCATGCCGAGGCGGCAGACTCAAGCTTTAAGCCTTCGAAGGCTAGGCGAGTTTAAGCGAGTCATAGGCGTGAAAAGGCGTTTCAGTATTTTCATCTTTATTTTGATTTTTCAAGAATTATATTTAAGAGTTTTTTCCTATAATATCATTAGTTTATTACTAAAAACTCTATGGATAAAAATGTGACAATAAGTTACTATAGTCACTATGATATAACATTTAAATATAATCATATTCACTAAAGTTACCAACCAGTGTGACATTTTTGTCCACAACATATATTTTGATTATACATTTGGAATTATTTCTATTGTTCAATATGTAAATTTAGTACTCCCTCCGTCCCATTTTGGTTATCCCTACTTTACTTTTAGGGTTGTCCAAAAATGAATGTCATGTTTCCTTTTCAGGCAAGAAATATGTGCAGTGGTTCTTATCATTTCACTTTATTTTACTCAAATCTCAATCACAACTTTTACTTTTCAACCACTTTATTAATAATCGTGCCAAATTGAAAGATGACAACTATTGTGGGACGGAGGTAGTACTAAACAATACTTCTTTGTCCCACTATCTTGCCCAATTTTTTTCCCTATTTATATGTCTCATTAAATTAGTCTCATAACATATTTGATAATATTTGCGTAATTCTAATTCAACATTATTTTATTCACATTTTAATAGTCAAATACTAACTACATAATTTTACTTTCTTAATAATCACACCACTTTATTTGGACAAAGGTAGTATCATACAAGAACATCATACTTTTCAAATCACCAACAAACATTTATTCTCAAAAGTCGTAAATCTCACAAATAAAGATTAACCAAAGATTAACCTATTACACAAAAATTAGAATTAAATAAAATAATTGTATAAAAAACTGATAATCATGATGATTACAAAAAGGATGATGATGTTAATGTTGCTACTACTAATAATAATAAGTTGATGTTTACTTGTTTAACATATTTAGCATATATACTACTCCCTCCGTCCCGCTAAGAATGGGACAAGAGGGAGTGACACGCAAATTAATAAAAAATGGTTTATGTGGTTGATATTGAAGTGATAAAGTAAGAATAATGTAAGAATGATTTAGAGCCACAAAAACTTTACCAATTTTGGTATGAGACAATCTTAGTGGGACAGTCCGATAAGGTAAAATGGGACAATCATAGCGGCATTTACGTAGTATAATAATTTTGTTACTATGTAAATGTTAAGACCCGGAGTACCATCCTAAAAAGTCAACCTAATAGGAGGAGTAGCACAAAGCCTTATATAATGTTTTATTGTTTATAGTTTTCCGGTGTGGGACAAATACTTTAACATGCCCCCTCAGCCCGAATCGGGCTGGACAATATCAGGGTGTATAAATGGGCCAAACAGACTCATAACAAGCTACCCGTAATCATGGGTGCTAAACAAGCCGTCAAACCACAACCGGAATTGGCTCTGATACCATGTTAAGACTCGGGGTTCCATCCTAAATGGTCAACCTGATAGGAGAAGTAGCTTAAAACCTTATATAATGTTTTATTGTTTTATAGCTTTACAGTGTGGGACAAAAACTTTAACATGGACTAAAATTTTATGATCCGATCAGGTCCAATATAACTTAGTTCGATAAAGGTGCATTTTATGTGTCATATATACTAAACGCCCCTTTTACTGTGGGGTAATTTTACAATGGAGTACAATGTTTTATCATTGTTTACCACTATTTTGCATGTGCCGTTGTTATTATTTAAGGGATGTAGAGTGAATTGATATAAATTCGTTTATCAAATAGGGAAAAGGACATTTTTTAGAGACATCCATAAAAGGAAAGTGAGTAATTTATTTAGAGATGGAGGGAGTATTATTATCTAAATTAATATAATCTCTTTAATTTTGATAAAATCTGGCTTGAGATGTAAATCAATCCAACTTAAAACATCTTTAATTTTCTTATCAAATCAAAGTGAGAACAAAATTTTGAAATGTGTGATTGATATTTTTTTTAATACTGCCAAGACATCACTTTGATTTCACGAAGTACTACCGCCGTCCTCATTTTATGTATCTTGTTTTTGGTTTGGGATAATTATTAATAATACAGTGGTTGAAAAAAGTAAAAGTTGTGGTTGAAATATATACGGGTATAATAAAGTGAAATGTTGTGCCCAACATATTTCTTTCCAAAAAAACTGTGACACTTATTTCGGTACAACTCAAAAGGGAAAGTGGAAAATGTAAAATGGGATAGAGGGGGTACTTAGTAATTGAACCTTCTCGAATAGCTCAATTGGTAAACTGGTGACAAAGCTTATACAATGACAAAAAATCGAAACCCGCAATGGCCGTGTTGAAGTCACAACTCCTTTTGTGTTGGATTAGGTCACAGATGAAAAACAGATCATATTATTTTTTCTTAATGCCGGTGTCAGTACGAAACTATGATTGATAATACTTTACTTCTCTTGAAGAGAAAAATATATGAAAATGCTTATATTTTAATTACTTTAAGAGCTCATTAGTGATCCCTGTTTTCGGTTTATTAGTCAACTTTCTCACGAACACACAATTTTTGATTTCGCGCATTGGAGTTACTATTTGGCTGAATTGATTGCAGTTATTGTAGAAGATTATTTTATCTATTTTCATATAATATTTTCTTTAGTTTATTAATAAAATATATAGAGTATTTGAAATATAACTTTTTCATAATTCAGCAGATTCCGCCAATGCAACCGCTTCATATAGAACTTTATCAGTTCCAACAGAATCAGTCGATTAGCCTAATTTCGATGTTGCCAATCACACTCCAAGAGTATATGCATAATATACTTGTAAATTTGAATTGAAATAAAATTTTAGGGAGTATATATACTCATGCATGAAACAAATTGTGCAGCTAGCGCAATGATTAAATAAAAATAATACTTAATTACCGGGCAAGATGGCGATGAAGAGTTGGTATTGTTGTTTGTTGAAATTAGAGAGGCAGCTGCGAATTCCAAATCTTGGTTAGCTCTTCCAACCTTGTCCTTCAATTCTTGGATATACTTGGACGCATCCATTATGATTGATGTTTCACTCATCTGTTCATCCATATACATTTGGATTGATATATGTTTTCACAACTTTTACATTAAAAAAACACATAAAATCATATGCATATTATTATTATCACTACAAAAAAAACCATTTTGGCACGACCTTGACACGGATCTTTGGCATGGATTGGCCAAAACTTACAGGATATTTGACAGTTGACACAGATTTAGCAATTAGCACGGGTACGACAAGTGTGTGTCAATGTCATTTTTACACTAGCTATTTGGCACGGCGCCGTGCCAAAAATATGATCCGTGTCAAACTCAAACAATTCGTGCCAAGTCTATGCCAATATCATTGTTTTCTTGTAGTGGATAGTGTATTATATAGGAAGAATATTACAGCGTCAGAGTTGGTGATGGATCGAAGAAGTTGCATTTTATCATGCAGCATATCTCTTTCTTGCTCGTTGTTGGGAAGCATTCTGTTGCCTTAAACTCCTTAATTAGCTTATTGCTTCTATATATCTAGCTAGCTTTCTGATGACATTTCCCCTCCTTTCTGAGAATCTGAGATAGATGCTAGATCTTTACTCCCCTTCTTCTTCTCTCTAAAATAAGACTATAATGTGTGATATATATAGAAGCAGGGAGCTAATATAATTAACGCCTACCTAGTGGCCGGGCAGCCGTGAAGGAGAGGGCCCTTCAAAAAAACTCAAAACTAAAAGAATTGAAAGTTTCTATAGTCCACTTTCCTTCGTAATTTGCTTCATTCCGGTATGACCCCTTTCATCTTCACCATTCAAATCCCATCCTTTCCAGCTACAAATTAAAGATAAGTGTAGGTATATATACACTCGTAAATAATACTAACTCCCTAAGACGATGACACAATTCTAGTGTGATTAAAATAAGAATGGATTGTGATCATACAAATGATAATTATGATGTACGACAAATTTAGTGAAACGGATCAAAAGATATATAATGGCCGGGACGAAGGGGAATCAAGGGGGTAAAAGTTAATAGCATCAGAAAAGAATAAAGTTTCAGACTCCTACTAATAAAAGAAATCACTCAAAATAGGAGTAAAACATAGAAAACATTCTAAAATATACTACGTAATTAAATACTTTCAATATCCAAGTTTTGGTCTCGAAAGATTTCCAAAATAGAACTTACTTACACCAGTATCCAGGTTTTGGTCTCAAAAGATTTTGAGGTCGGTTAACATCAATCAATACATGCATGACATCGGAGTCAAAAGGAAAAAAAAGATAAAAAGATAAGGTAAGATAAAAGAGATAAATGGACAATATATAAAGATTAATTATAAAGATATGGAGTATATAAGATATAAAGATAAAAGATTGAATTCCTGAAATATGACTAAAACATGGGCTAAATGCAAATATAGGATCTCATCTGTATTGTTTGAATTCCTTCAATATGAGTAATTACGTGTGTTTGGACTAAAATACCCTTGCGGTCAGTGAATTGCTCAGCCTAGCTTGTTGGCTGCTGCCACCACCTGCCACATGTCATCATCCGTCAGAGTTCTGTTGTTGGTCATTGAACTGCCCCCGCCTCCGATCGCTAACATTTTGCCGCCGCCGCCCATCCGTTGCCCCCAATGGACCGACCTTGGTTATGCAAGGGATCTAGGGGAGCTATTAATTATACTACATATTACTCCGTCAGAGTACTTGATGCTAGCTCTGTATTATATTAGGGGTAAAATGATAATGTTTAGTCATATTAAAGAAAAGATAAAGAACATAAAAAAGACAAAGAAGATAAAAAGATGAAAATAGAATTTATTTAATTCTATTAGAATGTGAATGAATAAAATTTTCGCTAAATAGGAGTGTATGAGTTGTATTTTGAATGAAAAGAAAACAATAATACTTTTATTTGAGAAAAAGTACTACTACGTATGTTTGAGAAGAATTTTCTCTTATCAATAACAAAAAAAACAATAATTTTCTCTTATATCAATAAAATATAACCCTTCGTACGTGATTGTAACGTAATTACAAATTCAATTCATGCAATAGCCGTGATTTAGAGAATAAGTGCATATACTATACTATGGTATATAAGAACGTGACTTTATTGGGAGAACAAACAAGTACCGAGTCATGCTGTAATGATAGAATCTCTGATAGTTCTTCGCTATTTTAAGTAATACCCGCTTTTGGTACTAGGTATTAATTATTATTGAAGTGTGACAAATAACTTCAAACAATTTGAAACAATTTCAAGAGTAATAAGTACACATCTAATTTGAAAGTTGAAACGCACACTATTACTCTCTCCAATTCAAAAAGAAGTTTCACTTTTTTTTTCGGGCATATTCAAAATTAAGTTCCACTTTCAAACATTTCCTTATTTGGCGAATTATCTACATCAAAACAGTGTCAAACAGTGTTCAAACAGTGTCAAACAGTGTTCAAACAGTGCCAAACAGTGCACTCCACAATAAAGTCAAATTTATTTTCTTAACATGTGTGAAGTCAAATGTGGAACTTGTTTCAGAAACGGAGGGAGTATAAATTAGTACTGTTGTTCATTACATTTGAAAAAAGCTGCATTGGCTCTTTACGTTTTATAACGTGCTAAAATATCATTATTAATATACCCTTTTGGGGAGATTGATTCTTCTTAACCTTATAATGCTAAATAAAGCTAGAATCATTGAAAATAATTGAAATGTAAATTTTAAAATTGAAAACAAAATGAGAAGTACATACATATATTAGATCAAATGAGAATGTAATCTATTGAAAGATATGAGAATGAATTAGGTACTTAGATTAAAAAATTGTGTGTTATTGAAACTGTGGTGGCTTTTTTGAAAATAAGTAAAAAAATGCACCGTACCATTCTAAACTATTCATTAACTTTATCAGAAATATGTATCAGAAACATGTATCGTGTCGGTACATTCTCATTTCTCACGATCGATAGCGACCATTCTTACAATCTTACCGAGATCAATCCTTATATATGTGTGTAGAACAATTCTCATTACTCATTAGGCCGGCCCATATACATAATAGAATTCTGTTAAGCCAACTTCATATTTGGCCAAAAAATTATTACTTTGATAATATTGGTTTCGTGAGAAGCATTTTATCTACTATTTTCAATCATTAAATCTTAAATTTATCTGAAAGTAAACCCTAAAATATTACTTTATCTCCTCTAATAGTTAATATTAGGGCACATGAAAATCAGATTTATACTCCGAAAAAATTAAAGATTTGATTATTTAATTATTGAAACTAATAGTTTGTATTAATTAGCAAAAAAGAACGGATCATGAACTTCCTTTTGACATGAATTGTTTTACATGGACACACATATTATTATGTTATATAAAATATAATATATTAATTGTAGAAAATGAAAACAATAAGTCAGTTTTATTTTTGAAAAATAAAAAAAAGTATTTTCATTATCCGCATTTATTTTATTGTCAATATATTTTGGTTTTGTAAATCAAGAAGAGAACCTTGGTTGTAAACTATGACTCGATTTTGCCAAAAAGAATTGTTGGAACCGATTGTTTTCGCCAAATGTTGAGTTCGCACTCTTTGTTTATAAGCATTAATTAATATTTTTGTACATATAAAAGATAAAATCTGCTTCCTGTAAATAGATCGACCTCATTTTTAATACTCCGTAGTTTTTTTTAACTTTGTGCTATAAATAATTTTGAAAATGGGTGCAACCTCAAATTTAGATAAGAGGTGAAAAGTCAAGCAAAAAATTAGTTTTTGCACCTAATCTTTTTTACCTATTCTTAAACAACATTTGACTTTGCAGTGAATGAGATGCAAAGTAAAAGAAGTTAAACAAAAAACACCCAATTCCTCTCCTGTACTTGGGAGAGTGTACACAACCTTTTTACGTGTCCGCAAAGAAGTTCTCACTTTCTTTTTAATTATGAATGTCCCAAAAAGAAGTTCTCGTTTCTATAAAAGGAACTCACTTTTAACCAAAAAGTCACAACTAGCCTTACTTTTTATCCACTTTTTGTTTGATTTGACATAAAGTAAGAGTATACTTTGAAAGTCAAAACAAAACTCTACTTTATTTTGAGAGTATATTTATACATTTGGTCATTTAATGTGATTTCTTTAAATTAATAACATACTACCTTCATTCCTTAAAACTTTTCCAAGTTTAACCGGCACAGGAATTAATAAAATAAAAACTATGTGGTTGAGGTTTGTGCAGAAGAGAGAGAATTAACTGGAACCACAAATTCCTTACTTAAAAGGGAAATGGCAAAATTAGTGGGACATCCAAAAAAGGAAAGTTGACAAAGTTTTAAAGGACGGAGAGAGAACTGGTATAGAAAGTATATGGTTGATATGAAGGCGCGTATATAAAAGGGTACCCGAATAATAATGGACCAAACAAGATGACAAGTACGAAGTGATGGAAGTGTACCTGCTTTCAAAAGCATACTCGTAGTTGTTTTGTTAAATTTTCCTACATAGTCCAATCTTTACTACTCCCTAGCCTCTACGCATGCATGGAATTATGGAATTATGTAATTTGTTTTACATTTTGTGATATTCCATTTTTTTTCTTTTTTGACCATAAATAAGTAAGTCTTATTGTTTCGGGTTTCTCTACTCATATCCCGATCATAATTTTTATTTTCCAATTAAATTATTGATATTGTGTCAAGAAAAACATACTACAAAAAATAACGAGATTGACATGATTTGACACGGTTTGACCGATGATTTTGAATCAAATAGCTCATGACAACATACCATTGACACAAATTTGGCATATCCGTGCCACATTGTCTACGAATTTTGATGAATATATCCCGAGTCAATCATCTTATTTTGTGAAACTTTCCTACATTGTCCAAAATGGATAGTCCAATATGTACTACACATTTTTGTCACTTCGTATTTTAAATAAAGAATTTGTGTTTCCCGTTAAAAGTGTCAACCAAATCATTCCTAAGACCCAAGATAGAATATGACATGTTTGCTCTAATTCCGTGCAACTTTTCATTATAAAGTCGCAGTCATTTTAGATGTACCCGGAAAATAAGTTACTCCCGTCAAAATTTGACATACAAATGCCCATGCCATATGTTATCTACATAGTACTCGGACTTTTTATCTCATTTGAGTCTATTCATACAATTAAGTGAATATATCATCTTAATATCTAATCTTATACGTAGTATATCGATTATATTCTTTTTGTCATAATTGAATTCTGTTTTTCAGATTCAATAGAACTTTTAATGTTGTTCGTAAGTGTGTAATCCACTAATCCGTAACTTTTTATTATGAACACGTACAGACGTACTAATCCAAAAATTTTGAGGATTGAATTTAATTATCATTGGTTAAGCATCACAAACTGAAACATTAATATTTAAATTAGACGAAGGAAGTATATGTGAGAGGATCAGAGGAATAGTCCATGTCTAATGTCTTAATATAACAATTTATTACTTGAGTCAATTCCCTAAACAAGATTAAAAAGTGGCAAAATTGCACAAATAGGATTACATTTTTAAGATCCCTCAATAGGACTATTTATGTGTTGGACAAATATGCCCTTGCTTGTAGCCTTTGAAATATTATAATTAATAATAAAATTATACAAAAATTATAAAAATCGTAAAAAATAACATAAAATTAATAATAAATTTATAAAATACGTAAAACGTAAAATTAATAAAGAATTTAAAAAATTAAAAAGAAACGTAAAAAAAACACTGCCGCCTCTGCCCCCCCCCCCCCAGCACCACCAGTTCTCATCACCGGAGAAAAT